GGATATGAGACGACAGTAAGAAGGAAAAAGCAGAACTTGGAATAGCGGTGGGCAGTGGAGGCTGGAATGAAAAAATAAAAACATTTACTGAATTGAACATGAGAAGATGGGCTGAGAGAACTGGGCTTGTTCAGCCTGAAGAAGAGAAGGCTTCAGGGAGATGTTACAGCAGCTTCCAGTGCCTAAAGGGGCTACAAGAAACCTGGAGAGGGGCTTTGGGAAGGGCCTGTAGGGACAGTTCTAGGGGGAAGGGCTTTAAACTGACAGAGGGGAGATTGAGATGAGATGTTAGGAGGAAGCTCTTCCCTGTGAGGGTGATGAGGCTCTGGCACAGGTTGCCCAGAGAAGCTGTGGCTGCCCCATCCCTGGCTGTGTTCAAGGCCAGGTTGGACGAGGCTTGGAGCAACCTGGTCTAGTGGAAGGTGTCCCTACCTGTGGCAGGGGGCTTGGAACTGGATGAACTTTAAGGTCCTTTCCACCCCAAACCATTCTGTGATTCTAACAGGTAGGATGGGGATATTCTATTGTAGGTTTAGTTTGTAAAGCAAATGCACTGTAGACTTGAATGACCTACTCTCTAGTAACGCTTGGTGGCAAGTATTAGCAGCACTTTACTTGATATTGGCCAATAATGCAGCTCTGCTTCTTGCTCAACAAACCCTTCCACATTCTGACGGTTGAGGGTGGCCTTTTCAAAACACACCTGGGAATGAAATGACTTGCCCTTATGGCAAACCACTAGGAATGGGGCATTGAACTTCCTAAAATACTTTGAAAAATCCCACCCATAATGTTTACTCTAATACTGGAGTTAAATGTGTCCATTCTTAGTGGTCACTCCACAGTTCTCTGTTGTGCTCCCTGAATGAATGGCTCTTTCCTCTCCTGCAGCTAATACCCCATGCATATTTATATGGAATCATGTTCGCTCTTAAATGCTGTTTGTTTTGGCTCAGGACGCAACTCCTTAGTTTAACCCGCCCTTGCAGGTTATTTTCTCAAGGCTTTATACTGTTTGTAATTCCCTTATTATTGTCTGTGTCTTTGCATTGGGGGAAAAAAAAAAAAAAGGAAAAGGCATTTTTCCAGGTTTTGCTCTATTAGTGGGTTGCCCAGCAAAGAATAGTATCCTCTGGGAAGTCCTCCTAGGTGGGCTGCCTGTGCCAGACCAGATTTGGCCTTGCTCCCAGTTACCTTTTATTAGGAACTCTAGGCAAGACTCTCATCAGTTTAATTCATCATTAAGGTTTTTTTTCCCTCTGCTTTCTATGCCTGGGTAGAGGAGAAGGAAGAATACTGCAGGGATGAAACACACTAATGGTCATCATGTAAAGATATCTATGGATACTACACAGTGACATGGGTGCCCACAAGGTGCTGGACATTTCCCCTATGAACGCCCTCAGGGCAGGGAAGCACTTTAAGAATCATGAAGACAGTTCTAGATGAACTTCCCAGAAGCACAGATTTCAACCTGCATCCTTCAGCTGATGGCAATCTGGTGTGTGGTTAATTTATAAGAAAAAGTAGTAAAATTAATGGCGTTCTAGGATTTCAGACTGTGCTTTCCTGTATTGCTCTATAAATGTGCTTTTTTGGAAAAAAATAAATCGCACTACGTATTTGTTGCTTGAAAATCTACTGCAGCCTATTCTCCAAGTTAGCCTGAGCATCTGCTGCTTGTCTGTTATGCTGGTGGGCAAGAAAATGTAAAGGAAAATAGAGTTTATATTGAAGGTGGACTTGAATATGCAATACCTGCTTATGCCCTTCCTTCTCCTTTCATTTGGAAAATTTCAGGCTCTCTTTATTGATGAAATGGGGGTGAATGGGGATGTGGGATGGACAGCAAGCTGGCTTGTGCATTCAGGCTTGCTTCTAGGCTGGTAAAATGGACCCAAACTGCCCCTGTTGATTCTAAAGCTCAAATTCCAGTAAAAGGAAAAAAAAAAACCAAACAGTATTTATAAAAATTTGTCTGCTTTCATTTACAATATGCTTTGTAAGATAACCCCACTGGAGTATTTGTAAGTCATATTTTAAATGTCAGAAAGAGCATGTTAATGTTTGTACTGTTTACTGTATTGGTGAAGTGAAGGTAAGTATCTCAGAGTGTGGGCAAATGCATTACTCAACAGCATATGAAACGTATTCACCTTCCACACAGGTGATACAAAACCATAGCTGCAAATGAAGCAGAGTACAGTAAGGCTAAAGGCTGTGGGGGAGAGTAGGAGCAAAGTGAGTGAGAAATGCTGATGAGTAAAACCCAGATGTGTCCTTGTCAGTATCACCCATGTCTGCTTTTTTTTTTTTTTCCATTTTTCTCTCTTTTCCCCTTTCTCTCCTTTTTTTTTCACCTTTTTTATTTGCTCCCCCGGTTTTTCTTCTCCTCTTTCCCTCATTTTCTCCCCTTTTCCCCCCTTTTCTCCTTTTTCCCCTTTTTCTTCCTCTGTTTTAATTTTTTCCTCCCCACTTTCCTCATTTTTCCCTGTTTTCTTTCCTTCTCCCCCCCCCCCCCTTTTTTTTTTGTTCTTTTTGCTTTCCATGTTTTTCCTTCATCAGCCCTTCAGGCCTGGCCCTTTGACTGCAAACTCAAAATTGCCCTGTCTCCTCTTTCACTTGGGGCCACAGGAATCACTGTTCTTCCATGAAGCACTCGCTGCATGTGGTCAGCGCAGCCTCTGGTCTGTGTGAGCAGCTCCAAGGCAGCTTGTATCATTCATTAACTTCTCTGCTGTGCCAGGGGAATTTACAAGTTGTCTGGGAGATCAGCTCCTTGCTCTTGCACTGGTTCTTTAGGGGATGTTGCTTTCTAGGAACCCTATGGTGGTGACAACCGGGTTGAAATCCAGCCCTTCAGCTTCATGTGCAGATTTTGTGGAGTAATTGTGTCACGTTCACTTGTGATTATGGGTACGAATCCCCTCAATGCCATAAAAATCCACAGATATTAGTGGAGTCAGGCACTGCCTGTGAGGATGAACAAATGGTAGAGGCACATCTTGTGTCTGTATAAATAATAAAGCTGTCTTAAAAGGGGAAAAAAAGGTGAGTATGAGGTACAGTCTGATTTCCAGCTTGGGAAAAGAGCAGGACCTAATGCTGGGCATGATTCCAGGTGTATGCCGAAGCAAGGAGAATGCTGCACGTTGTCTGCATGTGCTGCAGTACCTGTGCCAGATACTCCCAAGCCTTTGTAGACTGAGGTTCAGTCTGTTCTGTCAGGTGTGTTTTGTGTCTCCTGGAATTGATGTTATTTATCTCAATGGTTGTACTTTGGAAATTTTGTTTTTTTTTTTCCTAGTGAAGCACGTGATTAGTTTAGCATAATTAAGTGAAATCGGATGCTTGCTTTGGGTACTGCTCCTCCTGATGAATAATTTGACTTTTAAAGCAGCAACTATCTTGTATAAATAGGGCTGGCTTATTGGTGTCTGTGGAGTCGGGTGACTTTTGAGGAGCAGACACTGTTGTGGCTTAAGGAATGTGTTGGGTCTGTCAAAGTGTTTTATGGAGAGATGTGGAAATGGAAACTGCATTGATGCTTGTGGATGATTCTTATATTGCTTTTACAGCAAGGCACACCCATGCTCTGAAATATGATCGTGGCTTTTCCTTTGTAGATTTAACACAGAGAAGAAGCAGCAGCACACACATTGAAGGTGGAAAGTGAGGCCAAGCTTGGATTTTGTCCTGAGCATTGCTTTTGGATAGAACTGCCTTCAACTCATAGGCAACACCTTCATAGAAAATTGGTTGTTTACCAAAAAACCTCTTTGCCAAGACAAGGTCTGCACCAGTAACATAGCAACTGTAGGGCTGAAACTTCACTTTGCTCAGGAAAATGGCAAGCAAATAAGCCATTAACATGTGAAGAGGACTTGTTAATTCCAGTCTAATTATGTGTACTAGCCACACGAAGAGCTGACTTGTGATGCCAGCATGAGTTATTCCAACCCCAAATCTTGCTTATTACTACTCCTCACCTAATGAAAACAAAGAAGGAATGTATTGAGTGTTGAGACTTGTGTAGTTTAGCCAATGTCTGAAGAAATTCATTAACTGAAAATCTGAGTGTAGATATAAGAAAACACACAGAGCATGGAAGGCTTGTGGTGAAGTACTCCATCATAGAATCACAGAATCCCAGGTTGGAAGTGACCTCAAGGATCATCTGGTCCAACCCATCTTGGCAAAGAATGAGTATCTTTGATAACAACTTACAGATTCCTCAAAACACCTATCCCATTGCTGTTTTCCAGTATTTTCAGATATTCTGTATCCATTTTTCCTCTGCATGATGCTCTTGCTCTTACTGGCTCTGCTGGAAGAAGTTTAGTCTTGTTGCCCTTAGATAAAAGCAGGGAGTTAAGTGACTGTTTCCTTCAATGTATCACCAGATTTCCTTCACCATTATTTACAGTGATTTATATTCAGGTGCCTTCTAAGAGGTTTTTTTTTCCTCCTGCACATGAGTCTCTTTTCCCTTCAACTGGACTTAAGCAAGTGGGACTTACTCCAGCAAGCACCAGGATAAATCTGCCTCATCTGCAGACCTGTCCCACAGCTCTTAGACAGAAGACATAAAGAGAAAGGGTTTGGAGGGGTAGTCAAGAGCTACAGTTACAGGTTTAAGCAACGTGCCATGCCAATGTAGATTACAAAATAGCTGTGTACAGCATACTGACAGTAAACCCTGGTCAGACTTTGGTCTTAGCTGTGGTTTTGAAGGGGTGATGAACCTCATCCATATGCAAGATTGGCTTCATGCCTCTGAGTGGTGGCTTCAGCCAGAGGAACACCCCCAGAGCACAGGAGGTATCGCCTCTGGCAAGAAGTCCATGCACAGGAAGGCCAGGAGTAATTTGAGTCTTACAGTACAGCAATATGCTGAGTGTTTTATGCTTCACCCCTCTTGATACTTGTTTTTAAACCATCAGGCCGGGTCTTGAGGCTCTCAAATGACATATTGGCATGCTTTCTTTCTTCCTCACCAGGCTGGAATGATAAGAACCAATAAGGATGAATACTTCATTGAGCCTTTGGAAAGAGGAAAGCAAATGGAAGAGGAAAAGGGGAGAATCCACATGGTGTACAGGCGATCAGCTGTAGCACATCATCCCACTGATATGCTCCCTGATGTCCATACAGAAGGTACAGTACCTGTGTTGGTTGCTCACAGATCTGTTCCAGGTAACTGTAGCCTGAAGCAGCTTTTGAGAGAGGCAGTTTTGACTGAACTGTTTGAAAAGAAAGCCTTTAAATGTTTTGCTGAGGTCCACCATCAGTCACACGTGAAGTTTCTCTGCCAAGAGCAGCACATGTGTAGACCAGAGCTCAGCCATGAAGTGTTCTTGTCAATAGATGTTGTGGGCCAGGAGATGTTAATGGAAATACTCATCTGACTTCAATATTGTAAGCTGTTACTATGGCTTGCCTGCCCCTACAACTTCTGTTTAAAGTTTGGGTCTTATTTCTTCCTCAGTGATAGCTCAATTGTGCCAATGGCTGACACTCTTCCTGTTTTCCTGCTTCTGCTGGTTGCAATTAATGCAGTTGGAAGTCAGTTGTGTTGATAAGATATGTACTTTAGACATATCCAGGGATTCCCCTCCTTCTTGAAGATGATGTGGTTGGTCTATCTGAGAATAATCATCGTGTAGTTTAATGCATTTGCTTGTATATTTAGATTTCCCTCCTTTTAATATTATCCTTTAATCCTAAATTAATCTTTACAAGCCAACACATTACATAGTGAACGGTCAGGGTTTTGACACTATGGGCCAGGAATGAAAGAGCAGCTCCATTCCCCTTCAGTGCTCTACCTTTTTTTCAACATCTCTCAGCTTCTCAAATTCCTGTTTGTACTTTGCATTCACATGTTCTTGGAACTTAAAAGTGTTTGAGAAGAACTAGAATAACCACATACAACACAGAACTAGAATTAGATAAGGAGTATTAGGCAGAGAGAAGTCAAGCGCCCCCTCATTGCCAGTCCTCATGGATTTAAATTATTTGGTGGGGTTTTGGAATTTTGTCTCTGAAAAAGCAAGTAGGAATGGAGAGCCACTTTGAATACAGTCCTGCCAGACTTTAATTAGTCTTTCAGAAGGTAAGTCCATGCTGTTGACGGCAGTATGGCACAGCAGGGTCACAGCAGGCTTGGGGTCTAGTAGCAGCCTGAACCATGCAGGCTCATCAACCTGCTAGTCTCTGAGACCTGTGCTGCCAAAGGTACTTTGCTTTTGGTACCTTGATGAGGCTGTTCAAATCTAGCTCATGCATCTCTGTGGTGTGATCAACTAAACAGTGCTAAATAAGCCTTTGTGGTAGTGGCATTGGGTTCAGTGCTGTGTTTCTGCTTTGAAAACACATTGTTAGCTGGGCTGGTGGGCTCAGACCGTGACTAGACAGAGTGAGCAGCTGACAGTGGACCTTCTGGGTCTCCTTCAGCGAGTTCAGCATCTCTTGCCTCTGTCATAGAGTCATAGAATCACAGAGTGGTTTGGGTTGAAAGGGACCTTAAAGCTCATCCAGTTCTGACCCCCTGCCACAGGCAGGGGCACCTTTGACTAGACAGTTTCTCAAAGCCCTGTCATGTTCACAGGAGATCTCTTCTTACCTACTTTTGACAGTTTTAAAGTTTTATGCATCTGAGTTTGGGAAATAGTCCTGCCTATTATGCCACTGTGACACAGTTTGCAGTGGTAAGTAGTCTGCTGTGTAGATGCATGAGCATCTTTCTTGCTCTTCACTGCCCTTGCTTTCTACCCCAGAATCCCAGTGCCCCAGCCAGAGGCAGAAGTGCTGATGACAGGCTGCTGGCAGATTACAAGTTCAGCCACATATTTAGGTTTCACTGATAGATGACAGATGAATTAAGACATCAAGATAAAAAAGTACTTAAAATTCCTCTTGTCAGCAAAGTTGTTACAAAAACTGGGAAATGTGGTGTAGGAGCCCTCCTCTGGAGTGACATAGGACATACTGCCTTGTACTCCCTCAACAAGAAGTCACTTTTATAAGATACTATTGTCATGAAAGCTTCCGAAAGCTTTTGGTCTGCGAAAAGAAGCTTTTGGTCTGATAGGACATCTGGCATTCCTGCTGGATTTTATAACATTTGGGAATTTGTTGGACATGTTTCAAATAATTGGACAGAGTGAGCATAGGAGTTCTGAGTTTTAGTAACGATTGCAGTGCAGTGGAACATTTATTGGTTCATGTACTGTGTTCTCATGGAAGTAAGGACACATAAATACCTACTTCTCTTTCCTGTTGTATTTATCGGTGATGAAGTTTCAGTGAACTTTCTTAGGTGGGAACCAGAAATCTGGGTTTCAGGAGAAGATGTTAGAATGCCTCAAGCTACTGGGTACCGTGGATTTAGTCTTTCCCATTTTGCAGCAAAATAACCCTACCTGTGAGATAGCACCCCACACTGATTCCTATTTCTGGTATCCATGGCTGGCTGTAGCGTCCTTAAGGAGCAACTGTGTATTGTCATTATTTGCTTTGTCGGAGGTTGGTTTCCTTAAGAGTGCATTACGTGAAACACTTGAGGAATCAGATGGGAAATCTGGCCTCATTCATTTGAGGAATGCTGTGGAATGGCAAACCTGTTAATGTTTATGGATAAGCACTGGTTTTCCTTCCCTTTGTGTATCTGTGCTAGGAGGGAGCTGCTGCATCTTCACACACTGAAATCCTCACACGTAGTCTTTTTTTAAGATTTTTGGGGGTTTGTCTTCCCATTAAACATAGGGAAGAGTCTCTCAAAGCACTTAGCAGAAGAGGGGAAGAAACGTGAATATTCTGCTAATTCAAAGGATCTTGTTTTACTGTATTGTTTTTAACCTGATCTTTCTTATGCTAATGTGAGGCCATGCAGGGACCTGCAAGAAGCAGTAGCTCTTGACCAGTTAATGTTAAAATAATTTTAAAACCAACCACTTACTTTGGTACCCGTGGTCTCCATTGCACTGGGCAAGCCTGTTTGATGGTGTAAGTGCTGTTCATTCTTCTGGACAGGAAGTTCTTCCTCTCCTACAGGATGGTGGCCAAGGCCTCCCCCAGGAAGTCCCAGCTATTGAAAACTGCTTAAACACAGTAGCATGTGACACAGCATCAACAAACATAAGGCTGATTTCTCCCTTGGGAACAGAAAAGACTCTTGACTATTCTTCTTTGTGAAAACTGGGTCAAACAGGAGTCACACAGAACTGCTCAGCTCATGTTTAATGTAATCATGAGCCGGAATACGAATACTCATCCTGCATTTCCGGAATACAGGTACTGTCCGAATTGTTGTATGGTGTGGTGGAATCAACTGTCATGAACATGGTAGGAGAGTATGAATGAGCAGGTACGTTCTTGCAGCAAGTGGCAGTGAGTAGAAACGGGCTGCTCAGACTGCAGAGGACCTTGTTACTAGGCTTGGTAGGAATATAGAGAAATAGGTGGCTCTCGAATTCCGTATTCCCAGGTAATGCAGCATACTTTTATGTGACTTGTACTGGAGGAGAAACACAACTTAAATGAATTTATTGATGGTACCGGCGCAGCAATCCTAATAAACCTTTTCAGCTTTACCAAAGGTGATAGATGCACAAGAGGAGGAGAAGGTATTATTTCCAGTGCCAGTAGCCTATGACCTTGTTGTGGTTTAAGCCCAGCTGACAAATCAGAACCAATCAGCCACTCGCTCGCTCCCCCACTTTTTCCTCCCCCTGCTCCCGGAGGGATGTGGAGCAGAATTGAAAGAATGTAACTCCCACGGGTTGAGATGAGAACAGCCCAGTAACTAAGGTATGACGCAAACCAATAATAATAATGATAAGGGAAATAACAAGGGAAGAGAATATAACTGCTCACCACCCGCCAACTGATACCCAGCCCAACCCAGGCAGTGATCTAGCCCTTCCAGGTAACTGCCCTCAGTTTATATACCGGGCATGACATGCTGTGGTATGGAATACCCCTTTGGTTAGTTTGGTTCAGATGTCCTGTCTCTGCCTCCTCCTGGCTTCCTCTCCTCCCTCACAAAGCATGAGACTCAGAAGGTCCTTGGGCAGAGTAAACATTACTGAGCACCAACTAAAAACGCCGGTGTTATCAGCGTTGTTCCCAGGCTGAAAGTCAAAACCACAGAACTGCACCAGCTACTAAGGAGGAGAAAAATGACTGCTACTGCTGAACCCAGGACAGACCTTAATCCAGCAGAATGAAAAGGGGGGGAACTTCTAGGTTGAGCTGCAATGGGTTGCCACATGTAACCTACCAAATAGTTAGACTGAAATAATTGAGCTGCTTAAAGAATAACCCTGTTCTGGAGCATTACTACTTTAGCGTCATCCATCTCTGGCACTGTGTTGTGGAGGCAATTTATGCAAGACTCTACACTCTTTCTGAGAATGTCTTAAGGAGCTGTTATACTGCAGAAGTCATACAGAAGCCCTGTGACTTGGCATCCCTGCTAATGGGGACATACCTTGTGGGACAGCAGTCTGCAGGGTGCCACCAAGCCGGTACCCTGCTCTATAAGGTCACCATGGGGAGTGGAAAGTGCTGTGCTTGCAGTGTGAGCATTGATGCTCAGAATGTGGCTGTGCTGGGCCAGGAGGAGGTAGCGGTGAGGTTGATTGTTTTTTTTGTAAAGACACTGAACACTTATTTTTAAACATCTGGGACAAGCATCTGGTTGGGTACAGTCTTGGGAATCCTATCATAGAGCAGGACATACAGAGTTCTCCATGGGAATAAATATGCACACTCATCTCCTAATAGCTTTTCCACATCAGGTTGCCCTGGGGTGACGTTCTGTAAGCTTGACTTCCTCAGTAATTCAAGTCTTGATCTTAGACACCGAACATCTGTGCTTCTCATTCAAGTTGGGTGCTATAGATTCTCAATGGTCAGTGTTTGCATCGTGAGTGTTATTCCCAAATAATGGCTATTACAGAAAAAATACTTATTACTAAGGGCAAAAAGAAACAAAGGTCAAAAGACCCCATATTGAGGTCTAGGGGTCAGAGAGGGAATGGCCTATAAGAATACTAGAGGAATGCATGCGGTTGTCATGTTAAAACATTATTTAAATAAATCTTCAGGATTTTATCACAAAAATAGCTTTTCACTTAGGAATGGAAAGAAAG